GACGAAGAAGAAGACGAATAAGAATAATAATAATAATAAGAAGAGGAGGAGGAAGAGGAGGAGGAGGAGGAGGAGGAGGAAGAGGAGGAGGAGGAGGAGGAGGAGGGGGCGCTTGAGTGTGTCTGAGACCGCTTGGGACTCTCGCCAGGCCGTTTGGCCGCCCGCTCTACCGATGTGGCCCGCTGGATTGATTCGGCAGGGGCGTCGAGGAAGCCCAAGAGGCGTGGAGGACCCCGTGCAAGGGCGTCCGAGAGGGTATTTTTTTTGCTTTCATAAGGGAACGGCGCTGGGGCCCCCTGGCGGTGCTGCTTGCACCGCAGAGCTTGCAAGAGAGTGCTTAATTCACATGGCTTACACCACATAGCCGGCACGTCATAGTTCACACCACGGCATAGACCGCACCGCATGGTTTACACCGCCCAGCTTGCACCGTAGGCTTGCTCCACGTGCCCTACACCACATATATTGCAACCCATGGATTGCACCACATAGCTTACAACACACAGCTTGCGCCACATAGCCTACACCGGATAGCTCGCACCAGATAGCTCGCACCGCAGATATTACATTGCATAGCTCACACGACAGAGAAGGAACCACGTATGTTGTACCACGTAGCTTGCACATCCGCAACGGAACAAATCACTGTATGGCGTCCTCGCTGGCAAGCATACGTGGATTCCGATTCAGGGCTTGATACTGGCCCGAAGCCCTGCGGAAAACCTGCCCCCTTCATGTTTTAATCGGGGAACGAAAACTGGCATAAACATAAAAACTCGTAGGTCCGCGCGGATTTCTTGGATCCGCGCTGGACCCTCCTCCCTGGCGCGCGGAGCGCGCCAGGGGCGGCGCTGGAGGCACCGCCAGGGGGCCCCAGCGCCGTTCCCTTATGAAAGCAAAAAAAACTACCCTCTCGGACGCCCTTGCACGGGGTCCTCCACGCCTCTTGGGCCTCCTCGACGGGCGGCCAAACGGCCTGGCGAGAGTCCCAAGCGGTCTCAGACACCCTCAAGCGCCCCCAAACAAACCCCCTCCTCCTCCTCCTCCTCCTCTCCTCCTGCTCCTCCTCCTCCTCCTCCTCCGTCTCCGTCTCCGCCTCCTCCTCCTCCTCCGTCTCCGTCTCCGCCTCCTCCTCCTCCTCCTCCTCCTCCTCCTCCTCCTCCTCCTCGGGCCGCGAGCGGCGTCGTGGCGAATCGCCGGCAGAACCACGCAGCGCACGGGGCGCCCCAGGAGGCGCCCACGCGGCACGGCCGCGGGCGGCACCGGCGGCGAGGCCGGCGAGGGCGGCGGCGAGGGCGGCGACGGCGACGGCGACGAGGAGGGGCGTTCGCCTGGCGCTCCCGGCCGCCCGCAGGACCCCGAAGACGTGGGGCCCACCGAAGTGGGCGACGCGGATCAGGGGGCGTCAAACGCACCCACCGGCCCTCCCTCTCCCCCAGCGGTTTGGGGGGCGGGGCGGGGAGGGGGGCGGGGGGCGGAGGGGGAGGAGGCGGCGGCGGAGGAGGAGGGGAAGCACGAGGAGGAGGAGGAGGAGGAGGAGGAGGAGGAGGAGGAGGAGGAGGAGGAGGAGGAGGAGGAGGAGGAGGAGGCACTCGTGGCGCACCGCCCGCTGCCGCAGAGCGAGAAGCGCGAGGGCCGCCATCACGGGACGCGGCGGGGCCGGCCAGGAACTGCTGCCGCCCTGGCCTTGCTGAGACCGGGCACGCCATGGGGCGCTCTGTTGGGGGGTCTCGTGGCGGCTGCAACAGGCGCGGATAGGCCGCGGGTCACAGGAGGAAAAGGTACCGCTACCACTACTCCGGGTTTCTTAATCAGCGTGGGGGGGTACCCTCCCGACAGGGGTCAACCTCGCCTCGTCGCCGCGCCGCGACGGGGGTCGGAGCGCCTTCGGCGCGCGGTGGCTGCCCGCAATGGGGTCGATGTGGGGCTGTCGGCGGGGTTGACGCCCCCCCGACGCTTATTAAGAAACTCGGAGTACCCTTCCCTCGTTTTCGCTTTTTTGGGCCTCCTGGGAGGCCCTTGCCGCCACCGCTGGATTCGCCTCGAAGTTCTGGTCAGAGCGCACCCTGGGAGAGGTCTGGGGAGTAGCGGTGTCGGCACGTTGTGGTTTCCCCGGAGGGTGCTCGGATCGCCCACGTTTCCGGCGAGGCTCCCGGGCAAATGTGGTTGTCGCGCCCCAGTCGTTGCCTGTCGGCGCAGGCGCGTTCCCTGGCGGGGCGTGCCTTTCGTCGTGCTCCCGCCCGCCCTCCTTTGGTGGGGGGCCCAAGCATATACACCACCACCACCACCTCCCTCCCCCCTCCCCGTCCCAGGGAAGAGGAGAGGAAGAGGAGGGTAGAGGAGGGAGAAGGAATCGGCGTGGTGGTGGTGGTGGTGGTGGTGGTGGTGGTGGTGGTGTATATTCTTGGGCCCCCCCTTTGGGGTGTGGCCAGTGCTGCCTCGCGTAGGGTGCAGCAGGCTGACCTCAACCGCAGGGTGGACGCGTGTGCACCGCCTCTCGCGGAGAGTCCTCTCCTGGCACGCTCTGGAGCGAACTGTTTGGACGGCCCTGCTTCACCACCCACCAAACCACCCCAACCCAACCCGAAGGCCTCAATTTGCCCTCCATTTCCAGTGGGGGGGGGTCGGGGAACATTGGAACCCGCACCCCCCCAACCCGAAATTCGGGTCAAATTCGGGTCTTCGGGTTGGGTTGGGGTGGTCATGGTAGGTAATCATCACCAGGGGAACGAAGAATTACATAAACCAAAAAACTCGGAGGTCCGCGCGGATCTCTCGGATCCGCGCTGGACCCCCCTGGCGGCGCCTCCAGCGCCGCCCGTGGCGCGCTCCGCGCGCCAGGGAGGGGGGTCCGGCGCCGATCCGAGAAATCTGCGCGCCCCTCCGAATTTTTATGCTCATGTTATTGCTTGTTCTCCTGTTCGTGAGCTCGACGGCACCGCCTGTTTCCGAGGCTTTGCCTCCTCCCGGCCTCGTTCTGAGGCTGCGCCCCCCTTTTTCCTCCCCCATCTCTGCCTAATTCAAGCTTCGCGCGGCCCGCTTAGCTTCGACCGGAAGAGGTGCGCTCTCGACCCGCGAATCAAAAACACTGTTCGTGAGCTCAGAATCGAGGCGAGTCCTCGGGTGTGCTCGCCCCCGGCGCGCCGCGCGAGCCTGCGAGGGCCCCGAGCCCGAGCGGCGGGCCGGGAAAAGCGCTGCAG